AAAAAAAAAAGAGAAGAGGATAGAGAAAGATAGCAAGTGAACAATAGAGGGGATGTTAGTGAGAAACAGATATGGTTTATTATCTGTTGAAGATGACGTGTATAGTATTCTCAACTGGACTGGTCTGGGAAGTATTTCATGATGGGTGAAGTCTTTTAACAAGCAAAATGAGAAATAGTGATTGACTGTTTTAAAAAATTATAATAATAATAATTATTGGGAAATGCATGGAAAAGACTTTGAATGATAAAGCGGGGAGATCGATGCCTCTGTATTGACTGACATGCATGGCATTCCCTTTTGAAAAAGCAATGGAAGTCAATGTAAAGTTATATGTAATCCAATGTAATATAAAGAAGATTATGATAATAAAAAAAAAAGAATTAACCAGAGGGAAATAAAAAGACATAGTATTTAAGTGTAACAAACATAAAAAAAAATATATATATATATATGTATACATTGTACGATAACCATATCAGGGTAATTAACATATTCCTCAAGTCAAACACTTATCATTTCTTTGTAATGATAACATTCAAAGTTCTCTCTATTTTGAAATGCATAGTACACTTAAAGCACACCCATGGCTGAGTTCTACCCAACACCTGTAGCTCTCTTTTATTCCTGTTGTCTTACTGACTCCCGAATAAGTCCTGACCCACCGCCTCAGCATGCTTTCTCTTGAAACTCCCATTCCCATATTCAATTCTGTGATCTCAGTTTCCCTATCTTTCTAATTGTCCCTTCCCATCTGTTTCCTCTTGTTTCTCCCTAAGTATGAGGAGTGTCCAAAGACTGTTCTTTGTCATTTACCCTTAGCAATTTCATACATTCTTCAGGCCCTAGCTTTACTTCTGAGGAGTTGTTATGCAATCTATGCCTCCAATCTGGTGGGACTCAGGTTCCAAAACTATTCCAGCTTTATCCCCAGACTTATCAGTCCCTCAAACCAACATGTCCTAATACACTAAAAAGTTTCCTTTTCAGTCCACTTCTCCTTGTACTGTCTCCATTTTTGTTAACAGCACGTCTGCCTTTTGGGCAACAACATACCTCACATCTTTCTTCTGTCCTACAGCAAATGAGACAAAGGAAGGAGAGGCTAGAGGTCTAGGGACTGGTCTATTATAACGCCTGGAGTATTCTTCCTCTGGTCTCTTACTGAGGCATAGATCTCTCTGTCATTTTTCTGCTGAAAATTCTTAGTAACTCTTTCTCTACTACTCACAATCCAAATGAAAACCTCAACTAGCATCTGAAGTTTCCCACATTCTCAACCTATCGTCCTCACTTCTTCCCTATAGAGCTTGTTGGGCTTCTCTACTTCTATGTCCTACTTCTAATTCTGAAGTTGCCTGGTTTTCCCAATTTTTCTATGTTTATACATTGTTTATCTTCCTAGGCTTACCTCAAATACTAAATTCTTTTATGAAACTGAAGTAATTTCTGTTTATTTGGATTTCCATCACAATGTGACCATACTCCTTGCATTATGGCTATTTACATGCATACCTTTTCCCTAACTATATGATATGTTTTAAAAATGCCTAACATTTATCGATCTTGGACAATGTGACCAGCACTGTGCTTTAGGCACAATAACCCGCTTAAGCTTTACATCAACACTATTAAGTACTACTGATGTCTTCATTTTACAAATGAGGAAATCTGTCCAGAGCAGTGAAGGAACCTCTGTAAGGTCTCATGGTAGCAAGTGACAGAACCTGGTAGGCAGTCCAAGCAGTCTCTAGCCATGCTCTCCAGCACTAATCCCAGCTGACTTTGTAACCCTTGAAATCAAGACCCACATCTGATTCATGTTTATACTTACCATGAAACTCATGAGCGTGATGCTGGATGCATATTATGCACAGAATTATAATTTATTGAATACTTTACCTCATAAAACCCAGTTAATGATAAACTATCAGAGCAGAAAACTTGTTTCCCCATCCAAAATGGGAATATAATGTGTTTGGTAAGAACATGTGAACTGACTGGGATACTGAATCAGATTAAAAGATGAGACTTCCCTACTCTCACCATGTAACAGTAGTCATTGTAGAAAGGATTATTGTTTCACTGACTACTTGGAATGGAATCATCTCCTAAAAAGAGAACAGATGTTGACATTTTAAAAAAGGGAATAATGAGGCTTTAAGATCCAGTTCAAAAATGTTCAGTTTCTGCTTAATTATTATTAATAATACTGTCCATTCACTCAGTACTTTTATACCAGACACCGTGCTGACAATTCCTTCTAGATTATTAAACTCTCACAAAATAATGAGTTTAGGATTGAGAAAACCAGGGACAGGTGGTGGCAGAGTGGTAATGCATGTTCTGTAAGACTGACCAGGATGGAAGGTCTGGGGTTTGCATTTGGAGACCTCTCTCTGTATGGCAGGTACATGCCTTTGTATGACCTAGGCTAGTTGAGGCTGGGGTGAATTGTCCTATAAACATCTGTTGGGGGTACTTGTTTCTTTTCTCTTTCTCTTTTCACTCATGGAATAAACATTAAAAAAAAAGGAATGAGGAAGTCAAAGCTCAGAAAGTTAACTAACTTTAATAACAGTGACTATTTAATGTGTCATTACATACGATCATGTTATAATACCTCAGTTTAATCCTTACACTCACCCTATGAGTTAGGTGCTAATATACTTTCTATTCAATAGATAAAGCAGTGTGGATATAGAAAGGACTCATGCCCTAAACCTGGGACTGAGTCAGGCATCTGTCCTCCTTGTCCTGATACCAAACTGGCTCTCTTACCCAACGAGACTGACTTCAGCAACAGGTCTGAATTCATGTCCCCCTGACTCTAAGGCAATGGTGTTGATAAAAATAGTTCCCAGCCCTCTCACAAGGCTGAATAACACTGGAAAGCAACCAAGTCACAGAGCGCATGCCGGAGACAGCAGCCAAAGCACTAAATAAATAAATAAATATAAATAAATAAATAAATAAATAAATAAATAAATAAATAAAATAATACTAAAATAAAACAACATTTCTCTATCCCCAGGGACTACAACAGGAGGGAACATCAGTCCAAAACTTGCAGCAAAGGGGAAAAAATGATTAACATCCAAGGTGTATCGTATGTCAGCATCCCTCCAAGCTATGTGGTCCATGCGCACCAGCTCTTCCTGGGGTGGATTCAGCCTGTGGTAGTGCTGAGTGAGTGTCCCTGAACAAGGATAGACAGCCTTCAGCTCTCTTCACTTAGATTTCACAATGCCCCAGGTCATCTCTGACAAAGCAAGTTGCTATGTACTCTTCTGGCCAAAGAATCTTGAACTTAAAAATGGATACAGCTTGCCTATTCTATCCTCATTGCCTTTCTTACACCCTGGCTTGCAGCCGGAAGCCCAGAACAATAGAGGGCCATATTTGCCATCTCTAAGTTGATGGCTGGGGTACTCTGACTTTCCCTCTTCTCACTGGGTGATTCGTGAAGAATGCTCAGGGGCAAACCAAAATGGTTGACATTGCTATTTAAGGTAGGTTGTCAAGCAACTGATGACAGCCCTATAGTTAGATCTGCATCCCCAGTACCAAGAAGCCCAGGAGCAGGGGCATGTGGGTGGAGTGAGTCCAGCAGAGTTCATGGTCCATAGTTAAGTGCAGATATTACCGCAGAGCAAACTCCAAAGCCATTTATTGCATTCAAAGGGAAGATGTGTCCTACCCCCTCATCTGGAACATTAGGCACTATTTTAGGGAACTGATAAAGTTAGAGCTACTTGCTAATAAATATATGCAAACACATGTATGAGAACACATTTTAAGGTTTTCTGCAAAAGCATCTCTTACAGAAAAAAATGGGCTTTTTGGAATGACAAGACCATCCACAGATTAATTTATGAGGATTAATGGTACTAGTTGTCTATGTGTATGTTTTAAATATTAGTATTTTGATTATTTGCTTCCTTTGGGGGCAGGAGCAATCTACTTGTAAATTCTCAGTGTCTACCATAGTATCTGGCACTGAATAAAGAAGCACAGATATTTTTTGAGAATTCAGTGAAAGAATATATTCTGAAAAAAATATTAACAAAATTGCTTATGCACAATAATTGCATAACAGACATCCTTCTTAAAGGGATGATACCCTGGTGGTTTCCACAGTGACCCTATGATTACAAATATGACCCGAGATATACAAATATTCTAAACCCCTTTTTTATACAAATTATAAAATTAAAGGTTACACACTAAGGGAGGAAGATGATATTTATTTGTCCAATGTTTGACTCTCAGAAAGCAAGGCCATATTGTATCTACAGTAACAACATTTCTAGAGTTTTGCTGTTTCTGTTGTCTGTTTTGGTTTTAGTTTGATTCACTTTTGGTATTTCTTACTATTACAAAATCTGTAAAAACTTAGGGATGACTATCGGTCTTTGTTCCTTCTTACACACTGTTGCAAAATGCAATTAAATGAATATTTCAGTATACCAAGAGACTATACAGAATACAGTACAGCAGGAGGTCATTTATATACATATATTTTTTGCCTATTTTTTTTTTCCTATTCACTAGCAGCTTCTTCTCAGTTTCCTTGACTGGCTTGTTATTGTCCTCTAGTGCTGGAGGACTGCTTTGGGACTATTTTTGAGTCCCCCCCCCCCCCTTTCCCTATAC